TCTCATATTAAGAATTCCAATTCTACCTAAGTGATACTTCCCTCCTTCACTCTGTCATTGTATACTCATTCATTCATTCATTCATTCATTCATTCATTCCTTTTTTCAACAAATGGTAACTGAGTATCCACTGTGTACCAAAGACACAATGGACATACAGAAGCAAGAAATACCTGGCTCCTTTCCTTATAACACTTACAACCTAAAGTGGAAGTAATAAAGAAATGATTATGCAAATACACCCATACCTACATATAAAACAAAACAAAAATTTGCTAATACACAAACAAAGGTGTTAGGGACTTAAGTAATGGCCCATGGTTGTGGAGCTGGGGAAAGACAGAGTTAGAACATAAACACAAGTTGTCTCCTTCCAGAGCTCACATGCTTATTTATGTTAACAGAGTGATCAAACACCAGCCAGCACCAGCATTGTTCAGTGGAGACAGAACACAGCAGCCAAGAAGAATCTGAACTCGATTCATGGGGTCCTGTACAATATGACTGTCACAGAATCTCTTCCAGGCCAGAGTTCCCTCATCTTATAGATGATCTATATAAAGACCAGATGATCTCGAAAGCCCCTTCTGGCCCTGAAACTGTGATCCTATGATGTGCAGTGGTGGCAAAATGTAGGAAAGTACATGTGGGAAGCACCCAATCCAAACTTAATTTATTCCACAGTTCTGCCTAGGCTAGACCTGTGTGTGAGGCTGAAACTCATGGACCCTTGACCAAGTCCTTCACTGCTCTGTCCCATCAAGGACCTGGAAAGGCAGCAGGAATGGGGACAGTAGGAGGTTGGCAGGTGGGACCTTTCTGAGGTGGGACCAAAGACAGGATATGAGCTGGAGAGAGAGAAAAGAGGAAATCCGTGGATAGCAGATCCATTAAGGTGCCCCTGCGTTTAGGTGTCCTGAGGGTGTGATTTCTTGTCAGGCCTAGAATGGACCCTATACAGGGCTCTCGTGCATATCAATGTGAGCCTGGGAAATTTAGATCCTTCACCTTTCTAGGCCCCAGTTTTCTCATCTGCAAAAACAAGGCTAGATCATTTCTATGCTCAGTAATCTTCAACCTCACACTCCTATAACCTCAGCATGTTTATACCCTAACTACATTTCCAAAATAAAGTCCTACCCTCTAGAATGTACTCCTTGTAAAATCTACAAGATTCATTCAAATAGTCTTTTGATCTACCAGTGCAATTCTAGTAACAATTCAATTCAAATATCCACAACGGAAGAAACATTTCAGTGTCTGGTTAAAGAATCCCGAAGTTTAGCTACCATTTTTAGTATTTATTTATAGTTCCTTCTAAAATACAATTTTTAGTCACCATACATTGTCCACAATCACAAAACTCTTCCTAGAACTCTGACAATGTCCTAAAACATCTTCAAAATACCTAATGATAGAAAATATGGGTTATTTTCTATTGGCTAATTACAAATTGCTACTCAGTGCTGGTATACCAAATTAATGACATCAACTACAGAGTACAATATCTAAACCCAGCACACTCTACATTGACAAACTCTGATTTTAAAAGACAAATTAAATCATTTCAGTAAAATAATCTTATTTCATAAGTAGAGAAAATGAGGTTGACAAAAATTCTAGAATGGCTCCAAATCACATAGCACCAAAAGTTTCCAATAACTAAATCCAGGATTAATACCTATAAGCTCTTGACTCAGATCACCAAGTTATTATTACTGTTGAAAAATACTGGTTTAAAAAAAAAAGAAGTAGCTCTGTTTTGCACATAATAAAAATATATGAAGTTTTAGTTTTTTGGTAAAAATAAAAAAATTAATGGGGTGAAAAACCCTTATCATTCACCTGGGAATTTACCACCTTCTACCTGTGCAATGGGTTCAATTACTTAAGCCAAGGAGAGTCTTGCACATGTGTTTAATCTTCATTGCTAAAATCTCTGTATAAATATTTTAATTGAGTTTAAATTATAGTTAAAATACATGAGTATAAATTTGCACATTAAGCAGCAAAATATTAAAAGATGTTTGAAGGAATTATTTTGGTAATTCTAAAGTATTCTTTCATCAACCTGTTCCTCTACCCTAGACACATCCAAATCACCATATTATCAACATACCCACATGTACATGGCATCATGACCTCCAGACGGTAATTAACAAAGGCCTTGCTCTAAAAAAGTTATAATCCAAATATCCACAGAGATTCCTGTGTTTCATAGAGCACGGAGTTGAGTGCTGCTAATTTCCACTGGCTTAAAATGGAAGGCAAAAGTTGTTTGTTAAAGAATATATACTTCCAAATGTTCATGAGCCCTATCTTTTTTTTTCTCCTGCCCTCTCCAGCTCCCTGATTCCTTCCCCTTTCAACTCATTCTCTTTCTTCTTTAATGTCCCCCCAATAGAGTAGCCCCCCAACCCTTACCCATAGGTTCACTTTCCAAGGTTTCAGTTACCCACAGAGGTGTGGTCAAAAGGTCAGTAGTAGTCTAATGCTATATCACAATGCCTTCCTCTCATTAGACCGGTATCTTATCATCTCACATCATCACAAGAAGCAGGGTGAGTACAGTACAATATTTTGAGAGAGACAGACCACATTCATATAACTTTATTGCAGTATTCGTTATAAGTGTTCTATTTTATTATGGTACTCTTAATCTCTTACTTGCATAATTTACAAGTCAAACTTCATCATAAGTATGAATGTATAAGGAAAAACACAGTATGTATAGGGTTCAGTACTATCTCCAAAATTTCAGGCATCTACTGGGGGTTTTGGACGGATCCCTTCCCCCTCCAATGAGGGGGACTACTATACAGCATGGTTACCTTTCTTTAAAACACTCTTCAATATGAATAACTTATCCCCTCATCCATTCAGTTAACAGACTTTATCGATGACCTACTATGTGCTTGGCACAGTATTGGCCTCTGGGCGTCAAAAAGAATGACAGTGTCGCTGCCTTCAGGGAGGATGAAATACAGCAGATGTTGGGCTCCACAGTTAACGAGATGGGAGTGAGTCACTGTGGTGAAAACCAGGTAGCACCTGCCGTCTCCTGTAGGACATGTATTTTTTCCATCTTCTTTCCCGACCACTGCTCTTCCAGACTGTAAGCTCCCTGAGTACTGGAACCAAACATCAGTCATTTCTGTTGCCACAGCCTCTAACACAATGCCTGGCACACACTGGGCCTCCTAAAGTGTTTCTGCGTGAATAAATGAATGAATCAGAGTAAATGAAATTGGGTGACCAGTATGCATCATGAATGACTTTTTGAAAGATGGGGTTTAATTAATCGTCTTCGTCCCCCCAAGTGTATGTACCCTTGGTACCAGAAGCCGGGTGGGACACCGGACTCCCAGGCACAGACGGTCCTACTCTGGAAGAAGATGCCTTCGTGGCCTTCCCAGAATAATCGCGTCACATTTTGTCCAAACTTCCCTGAGAACCCTCCCAGGAGAGGAGAGGGCGGGCGAGCCGGCCCGCGGCGCCCCCGCCTGCCCTCCGCGGGGCTCTGGTCCTAGCGAGGCGCGCGGCTGCCGTGAACTTTTTTTTTTT